ACTATTTTCACTTAGTGTAATAAAAAACTATTGCTATTTTCACTTAGGACGCTTTTCCACTGCGTGGTACGACTCGGCTCGGCTCAGTACGGCACGGCTCGGCTCGGCTCAGTTCAGCTCGCATTTCCACTGCAGTTTAGTATCACTTTAGAGTGGGCGGGAATTATTCACATGTCGTTATAGTTGCGCCACCTCTATTGCCGCAACTCCTGAAAAACTTTTTCATTCCGCGTCGCCCCATCAAGCTCTCGCTGGATCCGCTCAAATCATTTATTTGAAAAAATATATTTACTTATTATTTTATAATATTGTTTATTTATTTATATTTTAGTCTGTTTTTTCCATGGAGAGGCAACCTACATGTAAAATAAAGCAGCTTTTTATTTATTATTTTAATTAATATATTATATTAATTTTATTATCTAATTACTTTGTACAACTTTTTTAGTAATGAAAAACTTACTGATTGTGCCCCTTTGGCATTTAATCATGTAATCATATGGCATGTATGTACATGCCATCATTTAGTGTAATAAAGTAAGTATCAGAAATCTCACCTTCACGATTAAAACTGCTGTCACTTCAGTATCATAGACCACAGGTGTTTTGTCATATGATTATGGATTGCGATGAGTGTGTTGTTGTTAGAGGTTGAACAGGGCAGTATTGGAGATGCAGACAGCTGCTGTTTGTTCATAGATGTTTGCTGCGTGCCGGATTGTGATGCAATCTGATTCTGAGCTGTTGCTAGGCGATGGCTCATGGGGGCTCTGACATCTGCGGCACGTTGGCTTGTGCTCCTCTGACACAGCGTGCGTCGCAGGGAGCGGCTCCACCAGAACCAAGGCAGCTGGAAGATGGAGAGCGACATTTTCATCCACGGTCTCTCCATCCTCCCTTCCGCTTAAATGCACATTCAGTTTAACTGTGAGGATTTTGAGAGCAGCCTGTCAGTGGCTTTACAGCCTCGTCTTTGTCTTTGACCCCTCCTTACCATGATCAGGCTGTTACGCAAGCATTATGCAGCCTTAAAAAATGATACAGGATCAAAGACATGCTGTTGATGGTTTAGTAGCCGCAGTCTCATTTTCATCATCACAGTTTGGTTTTCTTTGGGTTTGCGTCATGTTTATTGTCTATACAGTAGTCTTTCCTCTTTTAACGTGTAAATTGGGTGTATTTTTTTATTCCTATTTCAGCTTATGCAGAGACATTTCCTAAAAAGTATAAAAATACGAGTCTGTGGGGCTTTTATTTTATTTTGCTATGAGATAAAGGAACAGAAAGACTGAAATTGGACTGATTTTCAGTAGAATCAAACAGCATACAGCTTGTGAAAAGGGTGTGAACCTTCAGTGTTTTCAGTAAGGTGCTAACACTCTCGTCTGAAGCTGCCTCTCTATGCTAAAGCTTCTGTTTTGTTTTTACCAGAAAGATGAAAAGTCACTGTTCTTATCCTCCGTAGTTAACTCTTTCCCCACCAGCGTTTTTGAAAAAAGTTGCCAGCCACTGCCAGCGTTTTTGCTGATTTTCACTAAAATTTCATGGCCCCCAGAATATTTTGTTGTATGAATATCTAAACATGCAATACAAGATCAGACCCTCTACTTTCAAACAAAAAAATCTGTTTTATTCTAGCTTCAAACATTGTTTTTTATCTACACTTGAATGTAAATAAAATAAAAAAACAAAATTTTGAGCAAAAAGCTGAGAAAATCTAATTTTTTATCAAATACTACATCTGGATCATAGTCCATAATATTATTAAAGCAAAGATGCAGTAGATGGCTTCCATCAGTACTCCCAAAGCTTGCACAGGCCTTTACCACTTTCTGGATTGACATTTCCCTCTGTAACTTTAGGCAGTTTTCATTTATATGCGGTTAGTGTTGATGATCGCATTATTTTTCATATGCATATGCTTACATATGAGATCGCTCGTTTCTGCATCTTCCTGGTTTGTGTTTTTGATCGGCACTTTCTAGACTCATTCAGAAGATGTGTAATAGCGCCCCCTAGCGTATAACAGTGAAAACACGGAAACCCGGAAAATTCCGTGTTTGGCTGGGAAGCGTTGTCTTATGAATAACGGAAAATTCCGTGTTTGGCGGGGAAAGAGTTAATAAGACTGTTAATAAAAGTATCGTCATTTGAGTGTTAATGTTAGAGGCCTTTACCATTAAAAGATTAACCTTTTATTTATTTGTTTATTTACGTAATTACTTACTGTTTAAAGGAGACCTATTATGCCCGTTTTTACAATATGTAATATAAGTCTCAGGTGTCCCCAGAATGTGTCTGTAAAGTTTTAGCTCAAAATACCCCAGAGATAATTTATTATATAATTTTGAAAGTGCCTAATTTTGATTGGAAGCAGAAACACGCTGTTTTCGCTCATGTCTCTTTAAATGCAAATGTGCTGCTGATTCCCGCCCCCTTTTCCAGAATAGGGCTGTGCCTTTACAGCTCATTCCTCAGATACTTTGTTAAAAAACATCTGTTTGGTTTTGATTTGGTTTTCATGTCTTATTGCGCTTAAACTGTCAAATACACACAAGTTTGTTAAAAAACTTGTGAGTTATAAATAGGTTATGTCTGTGAAGATAAACAGCTGGGAAAGAAATCTCATGTTTATATTTGATCTGTGTGGCAACAGCGTAATATACAGTAAATAAATCAATAAATCCACTGCTCTCTTGTCTCCTCTGAGGCTGGGACTCTAAACAGTGTAATGTGTTCGACGATGCAGCCAAAGACAGAACAGTTAGCATCCTTTGCTCGAACTTTGGCCATGGTGTTAGAACTGGTACACCGTTGTCGCTTGCGAAATCAAAATGACGGCGCCGTGGGTGGAAACTTGCAGATTAAGGGGCGGTAATATTATAAAAAGATTCTTCTTATTCTTGACCTGTACTGCTTTTGTTTAAAATTTGAGTGGTTTGTGGTTTTCAGTGCAGTACTTTTCAGTATATTTTTCATGAAATTATATTTTAATATCCTAATATTGCAAAACTCTGCAGCAAAGTAAAGAGCATCATCAAAATACACTAGCCTTCAGTGAAGTACAAAGGACACCTTTGATGTTGAGTGCATGTCTTTTACATTTTGATGGTTAGACAGAGTATCTTAAACTCCTGGAGAATTAAACTGGTCATTTTATGTAGAGGAAGTTGTATGTCTGAATTTGTTGGCTAGGGTACATGAAAGGCAGAGGAAATTAACATGCCGACATTCTGCTTTTCTGCTTATTAAGCTTTGACTAGGACAGTCAAAACACTACTTTCCTTCAAACCTGTTTAGAATAAAAAATTAGCTCCATAGCTAAAACACTGGATTGTCAAACATAGTATAAGATATTGGGCTACATCACCAAGAAACATCAGCACTTCCTGTGCAGCAATTCCTCTACGACCTTCAAAATAATCCAGCCAGAGCTCAAGGTTTTGCTGTTTATGTTGTGTTTACACATTTGTGGTATTGTTATTAATCCGTGTTCATCTTGGGACAGCTGGACCTACAAATCCTGTTTACCTGGTTCGCAGGGGTTTGTTTTCCTTCCCCTGACGGGATCGTTAATTCAGGATTGTAATTGATTAGTGCCTTCCCTCGCTTAGAATCTGCCTCGAACCTGACTGAAATCACAAACGCCCGCAGACTTCCCGCAACCCACCGGTGACATTTTCATGTCTTTAGAGGACATCTCTCGCAGTATTTGTTTTCCAGGAGTCCGTATTTCAGATATGGACACTAGTAGACTTGGTTTATAGAGGCTTTTAGATGCATTTCTTATCAGTGTGGCACAGAAAACCCCAAGCAGTGCTTGTTACTGCGGGTGTCGTGTCTCATGCCGCATGCTACAAAAGCAGAAGCTGATTTGACCCTGACGTTAAGCTGTTTATGTGAACAAACTGAGGGGGCTATAGGTACCTGCTCTGTGTTCATTATTAATATGGTCTAGTTTGACTTAACTAACTTACTATATGTACTGAATACCCAGATGACCCACTGCATTGAGCAACAGTTTTCATAATACTTTTACATACGTTTTAATTGATGCATTTCAGCTGTTCGTGCATTCAGTAAGACCTAAACCCATGAGTTTGGGGTTGCTTGTGAAATGCTTTAATGCGCTTGACTTCTTTTTCTCCTTATTTCATCAGAATCTCAGTAATTAAGACATTTTAAGACACTATAAGTAAATAATACAAAATAAACCAGATGCAGACATTTTAGAATTAAGTGAACAGCAGATGTACTGCATTGTACTGTTCTAAATGTTTACCATTGCATATTGTGTGCATGTTTTGCATACTATAAAAAAAAAAAAAAAAAAAAAAAATTTC